ATGGTTTTCATACTGCTATTCAGCTCCCTTTACATACAGTACAGGGAATCCTTTTCCAATATTTAGGCACAGCTGAAGGCTAATCAAGATCTCATAAGTTACCAGGCCTCTTACTGTTATTGAATTTCCCTCCATTTCTTATCTTGAGTAGCTATTACGATTCCAGGTATTCAAGTAAACGTCATTCAGAAAAGATAAGGTAATAATCCGTTGATATAGGACCCTTGTATTTAGATTTCAGCATATCCAGCTCCCTGTTTATGTTATTAACCATGGTAGAAAAAAGGAGGTTTAAATTACCCTGTGTTTCCTTCTCAGATGGTGTACAGAATAGAAATTACTCAGCAGATGTCATCTATCCCTCTTCAGCAACAGAGAGATTTGTCAGGGTAATTTTGCCTGCTTTCCTCAGGAATGCCAATTTTGGGGGGGTTCACCCCAAAATGCCTCCATTAACATACCTATTATACCTCTTTGAAAGGAGAGATGAAATTACTCCTATCTGTTCAACTAAGCTTTGAGAAAAAAAAACCTCTTTTTAGACACAAGGTCCTCTAGACCTCAAGGGAGGAATCTCATTCCTCCACCCTCCTCTCCCAATATTAAATTATTACTATCAATAAAGAATTAGACATGTAAATCAATGTTCTTCAGCACATATGCTGCAAAAACTACACAACCTGCTAAATCTATGACAACTGATAACAAGCATTCCCCTTCACATTCAGAACTTCTGAGAAGATGCAGAGCTTTGCCACACAAACATTAGATTTCCAGTAAACCAGACAAAATAACTACTCAGGGATACATTAATTAAGCCCTATTTTGATATGAGGCTTCCTTTAAATGTCAGTATCTTTTCAAATGGCACAAGAAATACTCAAGGTCCGTGTGAGTCATTTATAATCAGCAATACAGAAAAGCAGTTTTGAAATGGGCATACCAAGAATTTCCCAAGGAACTGTGGAGGAAACAATGTTTCCTTAAACTGAGCAAAACCCACACAGGAGGGATAAGGCAATCTAGCACCTGGCTGGGGAGGTCCCTTGTTCTGCATCCTGACACTCCTGCCTCCTCTCCTGGATGCTGGACTCTACCTCCTCCTCCTCCCTCGCACCAGCTCTGAAACTTGGCAGACTCCTTACTGACTTGTTTCAATCCTAACCCAGCAGAAAATACCATTTTTCCTTTCTGCCTGGTTAATAAAATTCTTCAACCCCCAAGGCAGATGTGGCACGTGCCAGAGCTGGCTGGGGCCAAGTGGACCTTTTGATGGCAGTGGACCAAGCCTCCAGCCCCAGCCAGGTGGATCAAACTGCAAGTATGGTGCCAGGGTGCTCTGCCGGACCAGCAACCTGAACCAGCTCAGGGAGCAGGTCAGAAAGGGCCGGGGAGGAGCAGAGCAGAGCAATTGCTCTCTTCTGGTGGAGGCAACTTGCTGCAGAACCTCAAGTATATCATTTTCATCCCAACCCTCCACTTACTTCTTCAGCGGGTGAGCACTTACAGATCTGGCCATGGTCATTCAGGATATTCCTGCCCTTCTCTGGGCAGGTACCAACCAGCTGCAGAGGTGGCAGAAGGGACGGTGTGACTATAGTTCAGGTGCAACCAAGTGGGAAGCCCAGTGCCTTCGCCTTAAACCACTGAGGAATGTGAGTTTAAGCTGAAGGGTCAAAAAGTGAAGTTTCAGTTTCCAGGGCTAATGTGCTGCCAAGGTCTGTAGGCTCAGCAGGCAAAACCTGAAATGTCCCATCTTATCAATGACAGAGCACCACCGCCTGAAGCTCCGTCAACTAAGAGTCACACTCAAGGTCAGCAAGAAAAGACAGACCACACAATTAAAAAGATATAGTGCAAGCCCCTTAGCTTTAATGCTATACTAGCCAAATGAAAAAAATAAAAGCACATCTCCATCATAAACAAAAATGAAATCTTGGGCCTTCTTTATAAGCAATGTTGGCAGATGTGCCCTTTACAAAAAAAATAAACAAAAACCCCAAAGCTGCACACCTAGGGATGGTTGGGATGGGATGGGATGGGATGGGATGGGATGGGATGGGACGGGAGGAGAGCGACCATTTGTTTTTCAAAGTAATATAAGAGTTGCATTGGACATTTAAATGATATTCTGGAAAAGGGCTCATCCCCTCTCTATTTAACCACTGAGGTGCTGGTTTGCTGCGTTCTGCATTCAGCTATACAGCAGAGAGAGGAGCTGGCAGCCTACCAGTTCCTCTGCTGGCCGGGTGCCCTCTTCCACAAGTGACACAGACTGAGCTGTACTTCCAACTTCTACACCTGAAATGGGTAAATATGGGGATACAGCGAAACCAGCTCATGCTTCCACCATGATGCACTCAGCAAAGTGCAGTGTCCCTGGGCTTTCTGGGGCACTGCTGGGGATATTTTGGGTGGTGCGCAATCCATTCAGCTGCGTGCTGAATTGGGTTTAATTTTTATATTAACTTGGGTCGGGCAGCAAATCCCAAAGCCCAGAGAAAGCAAAAGCACCAGAGTCAGAGCACATCCGCTCTTCCTGAAAAAGGCAAACTGAGAAAACCCAAACAAATAAAAAGCCGCCAAGAAACTGAGAGGGTTAGGAAGTAAAAATCAAAACTGCTGATTTGATACATTTGAAACCCCCTTAATGATCACACCGAGCCTCGTTAAATCAACTCCTATTTCAAGATCTATATCATTACACCTACTTCTACAAATTTAAATCTTTGCTGCAATTTCTTTCAGATTATCAACTGGAGCAAGTATGCAAGACTCAGTCCTAACCAATAAGTAAAATAACCGTTTTCCAGATCCTCAGTGTCCCAACTATTAAGAAAAAATACCACATCTCTAAAGGGCAGCAGCAGACACCTTTGAGATCCGTCTCAACCCAAAGCTCTAGAAGAAAAACAGTTTATTTTTATGCAGAGCTTATCGATTTATTGCAAGGTAGCAGGAAATTTCTGGATGGTCTGACCAGCTTTACATGCTTTGCTGAATTTTGAAATGAAACGCAAGAGAACATTTGCTTAAATCAACAACATTAAGTCACCGGTTTAAAGGTTAACACTTGATTGTGCAGCACAAGAAACAAGACACTTTATCTTCCCAGTTCAAGGACTTCTAGTTTCCCGGCCAGCGGCACATAACGCTGCCACAGCCTGTTTTGCAGCGCAGTTTCGCAGGGATGCAAACACGGCGGGGCACAGGGCGAGCGGCCTCGGAGCATCGCTCACTGGCAGCAGGGCAGAGGGCAGCTCAGGCCCCACTCTCCCCACGTCCTGGCCCACCACCAGCCTGCTGGGAGACACCCGTGGGCTGCCACCCATCCCATCCTGGCAGCCTTTTCAACACAGATGAAAAAACCCAACCAAACAAAAAACCCTGGCGTGGACACCAGCACAGTTGCGCTTCGCGTGAGGCAGCTGCTGTAAGGAAGAAAGCTTCCAGGGTTGTTCTTCCAGCCAGGAGACACCAAAGCCAACCCCAGCACCCTCTCCGAGAGCCTGTTCAACCAACAGAAAACAGCAGGGAAGATGAAAGTGCTGTGCTGATGGAGCACAGCTGTCCTAGATAAGTGAAATATAGCAATAAATAAGGTCCTTATCTACTGTGGCAAGAAAAAGGCGGGTTTAGGGGAAGAGGTGGGCAAGGGAGAGAAGCCAAAAACCTACCTAGGGAGGGAAGAAAATCTGAAACCAAGTGAGACATGCACTGCTAATTAACGCAGTTTTTAGTTTGACCATTAGTTTCAAAATCCCAAAAGTGAGTTAAGACATCAGCTCAGGCACACGTCAAACCAACAGCTCCTCTCTGTCCCTTCAGAAGACCATCCAGCATTCCTACTCACAACCATGGTACCTGTACCAGGGATGCCCAGGGAAGGGCCTGGTGCTGTCGGTGTTACTGTGCTGGCAGCACCAAAAAGAAGTTTATTCAGAAATTAAGTTTGGGAATCAAAGGAGCAACTCTGAGCCAAAACGTCAGACCGATCTGTGAAAAATAAAAAAAAAAAGGGAGGGGGCAATTGCTGTAGCTGGGCTCTGTTGTCATACATTGCTTACGTTTGTTTTAATTTTAAACTAAGAGTCAGTCCAAGGTTTGTTACACAAACATATGGCACTGGTATTACATTCTACCTTGTATTTATAGAAAGTACTGTGGCGGTCCAGGCAGCGCAGAGATGCCATAATGTTAACAACATTTATTATTAGTATGACAAAAGACCATAGAAACCAGTAGAAATCATGACTGAAAAGTTTAAGGGACTGATCAGAATAATAGACCAAACTGCGGAGTTATTAGCTAAAATTCCTCCAGTATTAACGAACACACTCCTCAGGCCGCCAAGTATTTTGTTATATAAATATACCCTAAGAAAAGTAATTTGTTTAAAACCCAAGCCCTGAAAACTGATTAACACATTTAATGCTAGCCTGATTAACGCCGATATGCCCTCGGCGGGGCGATGGGAGCATTGAGGCAGAAGTCCGCATTCCTTCAAGTGAAGAGGAACAAAGCTTTTGGGACAAAGGGTAAACCTTAATTATGCCTTTTTATTACCCAAACTGCCGTTTCCTCCTTACCCCCAAACAGCTGGGAAGACTAATGGCACGCTAGTACAGCCCCATCAGCAATGCCATTGATAAATGCCATCACTACATTTTTCCACTCCAGCTGTTAAGGTACAACCAGCAAAGGTTTGATCCTTCGCCCTTTCAAAAAAAAAAAAAAAAAAAGAAATAATCAATAAAAAAGCAGGATACAGTACACCACTAACACTATACTCAGAACCTTCTGGAAGCGTTTATTAGCTTTGGCCGCTGACCAGTAACTGCTGCAGGAGTGGACTGGAGCTGTGGTGCAAACTGGTTAATCTGTAGCTAGACCTATTTGTGATGGGGGGGGCCGGCGGTGGTGGTGTTCAGCAAGAAATACTCCCTGCCTGGCAGGCAGGGCTTCAACAGTTTGAAGGGTTAGTTATGTGGGTTGGTTTGTTTTTTTTTTTTTTCCAAAAAAATTTTATTGGGAGAACTACAAAACATTTACAGTACAAAGTTTACAGTCTCACACAATTTGTAGTGAACTGACTCCCGAAAAATATATTACAACTCAAGTTGACTTATCCTTTAGTTACATTCAAAACATACTTCTGTTAAAGTAGTCCAAAAGAGTACATAGTGCTCAATCTGTACCTATGTACAAACAAAACTAAGCTACTGCTCATTCATCCACCGTCCAGGAAAGTTTTGGAAAACTCCCGCCTTTCTACATAAAGAAAAAAAAAATTACAAGTTTTGGAATTCAATTAAACAAGATATGTTCGTGTACTGTATAAACTTTCAGATCCAAAGATAAAATAAAGAGTGGCAAAACTTTGCTCTGTAGTTAAAACCCATCTCTACATTCAAATTTTCTCAAGCATTAAGAAAAATACTTATTTGGTTGAGAGAGATTTAAGGCAAGCATGGACCCTCAAGGCACTGTGAGACATAATACTGGGACCCCCAATTATTGCTACATACTTTTGAGACTATATCACAGTGTGATTGGTGGAGTTAGGCAACAAAAATACTTTTTGGTTACTTTAAACAAGTTTGAATTAAATTTGCCACTTTGAAGTCTGATTGGTAAGTCAGACTGTTTTTGTTTTCTTTTTTTCTCATTTGTTTTTCAACTCGGACGGGCTACAACCATTTACATTCTAAAAAAAACCCATAGAAATTCCTCAAACTACTTCCACAGCATCGAGACCGATTTCTATAAAGAAACCATGCAATCTTTCAGATTTACGTAAACAAGGAAAGAAATTAATGAAATAAATATTACATACAATCTCTTAAATTAAGAATTTTACTCATTTACAATAAAATAACCAAGTGAAGTTACAAAAAGGCATATATTACTGTGAAAAGAACACACTCCACATTTCGCCGATTAATAATGGCAATCATAATTTAAACATAATAAAAGAATATATATCTATTGCTTTTCATCATACCCGATAAATACAGTATGAACAAATTACCAATGTATACTTTTCACAAGATAATAAATAAGTTAAATAGTTTCATATTGAGTTGTGTGCAGTGACTCATTCATGCAATCAACTCAAACAGCTAAAAAAAAAAAATTAAAAAAATCAGCAGTTATTCTCCAACAATTACAAACTAAACTCAGTTGAGTGCTTCCAAATAAAGCAACAACAAAAAAAGAATTGTTCTAAGCCAAACATCCACTAAGTGGTGGCAATGGAACCAATATTAAACTTTGGAATGAAGGTTTTAGCATTTGTTATAATAATAATATATAGATATATAAAAAAAGAAGGTTGTTATCAAGGCATATTCTTGGCAGGATGTTGGATTTTTCTTTTTGTAAAAAAAAGCTTATAGGTTTAGTATGTTCTGTGTTTTTATTTGAACTGGATTGAAAGACAAAACTAGTTTTGTAACCTTTTTCTGTGTGTGCCTGCAGGTTTGGAGGAGCAGGACGGGCAGGACCCACGCTCCCCGGATTGTTTGTTGCTTTCTGGTGGTGTCTTTTCTAATGCTCTTTTTTTTTTGTGTGTGTGTGTGTGTTTGTTTTTGAACACAGATGGAATGGCTGCTGCTGGTGCATATCATAACTTGTCTCCAAAGAACAACAACAACGAGAGAAAAAAAAAAATAAAACACCCCGAAACGAAAATCCCCTTCTTCCAAGGTCTTTCTATAAAAATAGGTTTGTTCAGTTCGTGTCATTTGCCCTTTTGCAAAACGCTTTTTTTGTTTTGTTTTTTGTTTTGTTTTGTTCAGCTCTCGGTGTGTATATATAGATAAGATATATATATAAAAAAAAAAACCAAAAATAGGAAGAAGGATTCACTTTCTTCGCTCGGTAACTTACTTGCGGGGTGCCCCCCCCCTCCGGGCCCCCCCACTAGTCGTCGGAGATGGAGAGGCGGCTGAAGATGGGCAGGCGGCGGCCCGAGTCCAGGCTGGGCGACTCGGAGCCGCTGAGGGAGCCGGAGCTGAGGGAGCCGCTCAGGTAGCTCTCCCGGTCGGAGAGGGAGTCCGGGGGGCTGGGCGGCGCGTCGAAGACGGGCGACTCGGAGAGGCGGCGGAGGGGCTGGAAGCTGAAGGGCGGCGAGGCGGGGGGCGGCGGGCAGCCCCCCCCGGGCGGCGGGGGCGGCGGCGGCTGCTGCTGGCAGCGGTAGTAAGCGGCGGCGGCGGCGGCCGCGGCGGCGGCGGCGGCGAAGTTCTGCGTGTGGAGGGCGAGGGGGGCGATGAGGCTGCCCAGCTCCTGCCCGGAGAAGGCGAAGGCGTTGTTGGCGCAGGGCGGCGAGAGCAGCTCCTCGCAGTAGGAGGAGGCGGGCGGTGGCGGCGTAGCTCGTGGAAGCCGTGGGCGAACTGGCACTTCTCGCCGTACTTGCAGGCGCCGCTCTCCTCGAAGGGGCGGCACAGCTCCGTCTTGTAGCGCGTCGAGTTGATGGGGGCCCCGCCGCCGCCGGAGCCGCCCCCTTTGCCGGCCGCCGCCTGCTGCTGCTGCTGCTGCTGGAGCTGCTGCATGAGGTGCTGGCTGCGCTCGCCGTTCTCGCTGAAGGAGCGGTCCCGGAACTTGTTCTCCTTGTTGAGCAGGGCCGTGGGGCTGCTGCTGCCGCCGCCGCCTCCGCCGGAGCCCGTCTCCTTCAGGCTGCCGAACGAGGAGGAGGAGGAGGAGGAAGAGGAGGTGGAGGAAGAGCTGGAGCCGGTGGGGCTGGGGAACTTGGAGCCGCCGGCCAGCGCCGGCAGGTTGCTGGTCGAGTGCCGCCGCAGGAAGCCCGGCGCGAAGCTGGAGGAGCTCGGGGGGGTCACCGGGGTCCCCACGGCCTTCTTGTCCAGCATGAGGTTGGTCAGGGACTTCTCCGTCTGCCGGGGCGGATGGGGGAAGGGAGGGAGGGAGGGGGCGGGGGAGACAGGGAGCGGGAGAGAAGAGAGGGTGTTGCAGGGTGACCGCCAGCCCACCGACACGGCTCCCGCCGCACCGCGGGGG